ACATTACTGCACCACTTGAGCCTCGGCCAAAAGTGAAACCCGATACAAAGAACACATCCTCCGTTGCCGTTGCTCAATCTCCAAGAACCGGTGTACCGACACTTCCGGCGCGGATGGATTTGTGAATTCCGGAAAACGATCGCTACCCTTTCCCATGAGGGTACTTTAGAATCTGATGTAGATGGAAAGAGACACTGCTTTGACCTGGTGTAAAACACGGTCGCCCCAAAAGTAGCGTTAGGTTGCGGGAACGTCCAACGATATGAAATTCGATACTGTGTTGTCCCGGACCACCTTGGTTGAATTTTAACAGTCGCCCATCACTTCTCTTGCTGGTAATGTCCGTATGCTCTGACACCTGGGTAGTTTGGGACGAAGTCACGGCGTTTCAACCCGATTGCATATGCATTCTGGTTGGGCAAGACGTTAATCGCAGACGGCCGGTATCTAACAAGTACGCACGATCGCACTTATCTTCTACATTCACGAAATATAGAGAGGTTTGTTAATGATTTTTGGCCCTCAGGCGGTAGCTCTTGTCCGAAAAAGGATTAATGCGGGGAACTCCTCACCTGGAAAAACCAAGTCCAACCAGCTGTTCCAGGCGTGGTGTCTATGGAGAGTTTGGACTTGGTCCATAGCAGATATGGACAGCTTCTTCTGGTGTACTCGTGATGCCATTAGCAAGTCCCCCAGATGGAGATTCTGCTTGTATCTTTTTTAACTGTTTTCAGCACACGCTTCATCTTCATCTGCCTTCTCCTTCTGTCTTCCGCTTTCTCTATCCTTCACCGGATTGCCTCGGGTTGGTCAGGGTGTGGGGGTATTTGAAGTAGCCCAACTTCTTGTCATAAATGGTCAACCTCATCGAGGTACCAAGTGTCATCCGGTTGGTTATTCCCCAGTTTCATGTGTGGGGCAAGACATCAAGTCATACGTCTTTCCACACACATTCATCGGCAAGCCAAAGACAACCTGTCTGGCTCCGGTTTAGTTGTACTCCAGTATCTCTGTCACATGAATGCTCGCAGCATTCTCCACTTTTTTCCGTGCACACAGCAATTTCAGTCCCCTCAGGGCTTTGGCTTTCTAATTTCTCAGCCTCCTCAACTTTTCCCTTGTTCCAGGCTGCGTCGTAACACTGTTTTGTTTCACGTTCATATCCATAATGCCATGTCCCGAGCGGAATTCCTTTGAACACCGGCGCTTTCCGGTGGTAAAAATTGACTTTTCGCCGTTCCCGGGCCAAACTGGTACTTCTTGCACCTGCCGGCTCTGTTCTGGTTGGGCTTCCCCACGCATCCCGGTTGAATCTTCGAGCCATCCAGTGGCCTCGGCTCTGATCCCTCATACTCGATACCAATTGTTGAAACGCATCCCCAGTTTCCTGGTGCGTCGAGAATTGCAGGTTGGCAGTCTCCTCTGACGGCTGTCAAATTCATCTGCCCATAGCCCAAGATCCATACCCGATCAATGCATATAGCTCTCCTGCTCTGCAATTCTACAACTTAGCCCAATTCGGCATCGTTTTGATTAGGATGTACTTGCTTGGATCTAGGCTCCCCCATCAAAATCTCTGTCTAGTCCCAGATTCAAACAAAATCTCATTCTCTCCCAAAATTGCCTCCTGTCTTCCGACGGTCACCACATCGGTTCTGGTTGGGTTTTAGAGATGTCCAATGCACAGAAAGTCCAGTGCAATCGGGAGGGCACCTGCCGGCTTGGGTAGGTGGGTGGGCGTATATACGATGCTAAGATTCGTAAGATGCGACCCACAGTCTGGAAAAATTTAATTCCTTTGGGAGGAGGAGCTTGGTTATGTGTGGGAGAAGGGTTGTTGTGACATTGGGCTTATCAGGAGGTGGCGATCACCTGTTTATCAAAAAGATCTTGATTTCTCTGACGCAGTCTGTACAACGGTCGGTGTCATGACCGTTGTTGTTTGGTGATACCGCACAGTATTTTGAGGGTCGTAAGACGGGGGGGAGTGGATTGCGGTAATGGCTTTGGTTCCAGGGGTTTCAATGATTTTTTTCTGATCCATATTCCCAGAACTTTGGTCAGAGGCATAAATAATAGTGGGGTAAGGTTCTTTGGCCTCGGCGGTTTGGAATCTGGTTGGGCTTGTGTGTTGCTTTACGGACGCGGCCGTAGAACGGGTGTGGCAGTCAATAGGCTTGGGAGGGGGAGGGGGAGTGGTGGTGAGCACACGTGAGCTTCGAGGCTCTCGTATTTGCAGGCCGCCACTCGGGCCCGCATTGTTGTTACGTTGAACGTCCTCCTCGGTTGTTTTCCCTGTCATGGTCAAACTAGACCTTGTTTCATTGCGTCTTCGTATTTGCACCCCATCTCTGTAAATCTGCGAAAGTAGGGAAGGGGAATTACAAATCATTCTCTGCATTAAATATTCGGGTGGAGATTGGCGCACAATCATACCGAATTTTGATCTTTGTCAGTGGGCCTTAAAGTCATCATTGACCGCTTTTTGGCCCTCCATCGGATCACAAAGGGTCCGAGAAGTTTCCTTGGCCTCTTGCCTTTGTCGTTTCGAGATCACGAGTTGTGATCTCGTCTGAGTGTTGTATGAATATTGTGCGACAAAGGCCCTTAGCCATTCATCCAGTTCCTCTTCACTTCATCTTGTAACTTTGCGTACCAATAGGGAGACCACACCCGACGGGTTGGCCGAATAGTGAGAGCTTCTTGTGGTCGTGTAGGTCCTCATTGGCCGCAAGACGTCTGCAACAGTCGGATATGGACATGGGGTCGCCGGATCCCATCAAACGTTCGATTTGTTGGCATTCTTGAACCTATTCGGGGAGTGTTACGGCCCTCCCTCGGTATACCACTCCGTTTTCGATCATCCGGCATAGCTTTGACCCCTTGGGATTTCTTTAAAGAGCTTTCCAGTTCTGCTCAATTTTCAAGAGGCCGTACTGATCAACCTCGACCTCGAAGGGAGAGTCTGGGTGCATTGGATGTATGGGCCTTGGTAAGTTGTTCGGTGGAAGCGGGGGCGGAGCTGGCCACCGTTGGAGACTCGTGTCCTCTGTAAGTTTGGTGGACATTTTGGCAGGGTATTCTGGGCATTTGGTGGGGCGTTTCTGCAGTAGGCGGCGTGCCTCAGAGTAATGGAAGCCCTCGCGGAGAGGGATTTGGTGTGAAGCAGATGCCTATAGATTTCTATTGTTAGCAGTCGGGTAATCAGCTCAGCCTGCTGGGATCATAATTTTCGGCTTGTCTGCTTAGGCGAGTTCATCCCGGCCGGACTGCATCCTGTTGCATGGCCCGCATGGTTTCCTGCATTGGCGCTCTTTCCTCAACTCATGTCGGCGTTGTATGCTAGTTTCGATTTGTCTGAACTACCTGGCAGATCTGTTCTCAGTGGGGATCTCAATCCAACTGTCCCACTAATGGGGAAACCACTGTTCTGACTGTCTCTTGTTCAATATACTGCGCTTTTCTGCTTTCTTCTGAACGGGGGTAGAGAATGGAACACTGGCTGTCCGTCGATTAGATCCTCAGATCGATGGAGTCGACGACCTCGTGTCCAAAGTGCTTGGGAATGCTGCTGGGTTGGAAGCAATTGTGCTAAAACTGACCTAGCAAAAGATAAATGAAAGCGAAAGGAAATAAAACGATAACTGGCGTGCAAGCCAGGACTGCCTTGCTTCTGATGGATGATGCAGTCCGGGGTTGTCTTGCGCGGAATCCACCGGAATGCCCCAAATTAGCTGCTGTTTTACCTGTTCTTGAAATGCGTGCCGAGCCCAAAGGAAGTTTGGCTGATTCTGCGTTTTGCTGACAGAGAGCCAGGAAAGGGCCATAGCAGATTGTATTTGCACAGATATAATGCATGTTCGATCTCGCGCCACCAATCACGTAATAGACGAAGGCATAGATGCCGAGGGAGTCGAAATGCAACCAACTCAATATAAGGTGAATGCACATGAAATTCAGCAAAAACCTAACTCCATCATGGATAATCCGGAGTGTCGGTGACTGGGCGAATTGAGACACATTCCGTCACTCGGAGTACGAAATGTACCTGTTTCCCGTGCCCGGGCTAACCTCCTATTCCGGACACGATGCAATATGCATGATATGCATGAAATGCAACTAATATACAATCCTAATCATACAGCAATGCATGGAAGTGAGATGCCTCGGAATGCGTCACACGGGCACGCAATCGGAAATCACCTGATGCAATGAAAATGAGATGTTCGAAATGCGTGCACAACGGGCATGCAAACCGGGGCAATGGTATAATCTATGAAAATAAGGTGCCTCGAAATGGCGTGACACGGGTACGCCAAACTGAGGCAATGGTAAATGCGATGAACATGAGCTGCCTCGAAATGCGTGCACACGGGCACACAAACCGAGGCAATGGTAAAATGCGATAAAAATGAGGTACTTCCGAAATGCGTGCACACAGGCACGCAAACCGAGGCATGGTAATATGTATGCAAATCGAGGTGTCCTCGAAATGCGTGCACACGCGGCCACGCAACCGAGGAAATGACAAATGCGATGAAATGAATATGGAAACATGATATGGGCTTTATTACAACAGTGAGTGGCTCAGCCACACTCACATAGGATGTCGTGAATGAAAATGAAGGTGGCATCGAAATGCGTGGCACAGGGACGCAAACCCAGGCATGACGGAATGCGATGCAATGAATATGGAAACATGATATGGCTTATACAACATGAAGTGGAGCCTCAAGCCACACTCACTAGGAATGCCGGCGACAAAAATGAGGTGCCTCGAAATGCGTGGCACACGGGCACGCAAACCGCAGGCAATGAGAATCGATGAATGAAATGGAAACATGATAATGGGTACTTATAACAACATGCAGTGAGTTCTCAGCCACATCACATAGGTGCGCGGATAAAAATGAGGTGCCTCGAAATGCGTCGCACACGGGCACGCAAAACCGAGCAAATGACGGAATGACGATGAAATGAATATGGAAACTGATATGGGCTTATACCAAAACATGAAAGTGAGCATAGCACCTCACATAGGATGCCGGTGAATGAAAATGATGTGCCTCGAAATGCGTGCACACGAGGCACGCACCGAGGCAATGACGAAATGCGATGCAAGAATGGCAAAAAAATGAATATGCAAGCATGCTAATGGAATTTCAGCAGTAAAATATTGGGGGAAACAGTCCGAAATGAGGCGAAATGACATGAATGCAAGAATTGTCCCCGAAACTGCGAATTTAGCACCAAAGGCCTATAGCTAATGCCAAACATGCACAACATGGACAATCAATGCAAGAAGAAGCTAGATCAGTCCCAAAAAAGGCACATTCAAGTTATAAGATTCCAACCGCGAGGCCAAAGAACCTTTACTCCACTATATATGCCTCTGACCAAAGTTCTGGGAATATTGATCAGAAAAAATCATTTGAAACCCCTGGAACCAAAGCCATTACCCTACGCTTGTGTGTTTCTTTGCATTGCATTTGCATTGGTGCGCCTAGGACACCGTGTTTTCCATCTGCTATTCCTGAACGGTTTGCCGGAGGCTTGTCTTGTCAAGGCATGACCATAAGGCTGACCGGTTGTGGGCTCTGCCAGTATGGGAACACAAACCCCGGTTTTACCGGGGCACCCTTTTTGATCATTCGACCTAGTGCATATTCGGATCCATAGTGACCATTCCAAACTAGGACAGGTTGCTTACCCGTTTATAGGTTGTTTGAAACCACTCTGTGCGTAGTGAAACCCTAGCTCCTGACAAAATAGGACAGGGAAACCCTACCCCAACATAGGGGTGTTTTGGCTCTCACTTATCTGTTATGTGCTTTAGAGTGCGTCTCTACAGGAATGCACGTATCAGTATATGGGTTTGAGCATCAGGCCTGCGGGCATCAGTTTAGTATTGTCAGTATCAGGCCTGCGGGCATCAGTTCAGTACATGAGTTTCGGTATCAGGCCTGCGGGCATCAGCCAGTATTTGAGAATTAGTTATCTGCGGATATCAGATCCTGTTTTAGGGGACAGTGATACAGGGATAATAATCAGTGTTTGAGGACAGTATGTATTCAGCTTATGTGTGCCCGACTGTGTGTCATGCATTTTATTTTAAGCTGTTATGCTGTTATGCTGTCCGTTTATCTGTTTATTTATTTCCTTTTCGCTTTATTTATCTTTTGCTAGGTCAGTTTTAGCACAATTGCTTCCAACCCAGCAGGCATTCCCCAAGCACTTTGGACACGAGGTCGTCGACTCCATCGATCTGAGGATCTAATCGACGGACAGCCAGTGTTCCATTCTCTACCCCCCGTTATCAGAAGAAGGCAGAGGACGCGCAGTATATTTGAACAGAGAGCACTAGAACAGTGGTTTCCCCTATCAGTGGACAGTCAGATTGAGATCCCCATTGAGACAGATCTGCCAGTAGTTCAGATAGATCAAAACAGTATGACGGCACCAACAGGAGTTGAGGAAATGATGCGCCAAATGCAGGAAACCATGCGGGCCATGCAGCAGGATGCTGTTCGCCGAGATGAACTCGCTAAGCAACAAGCCGAGATTATGACCCAGCAGGCTGAGCTGATTACCAGATTGCAACAGCAGAATGAGGCATCTGCTTCACAACAAATTCCTCCTCCGGTAGGGGCTCCATTACCTGAGCGGACACCTGCTGTTCAGAACGCTCCTCCAAATATCCAAAATACTGTGCCGACCATCCAAAACTTACAAGAGGACACGAGTCTTCCAACGGGGCCAGCTCCGGCCCCGCTTCTACCACAACTGTCCAAGGTCCATACACCCAATCACCCGGACTCTCCCTTCGAGGTCGAGGTTGATCATACAGCTCTGAAACTGAGCAAACTGGAGAAGCTCTTTAAGAAATCCCAAGGGGTCAAGGCTATGCCGGATATCGAAGATGGATATACCGAGGAGGCCGTAACACTCCCCGATAGGTTCAAAATGCCACAAATCGACCGCTTTGACGGGACCGGCGACCCCATGGTCCATATCCGACTGTTTGCAGACATCTTGCGGCCAATGGGCCTAACACGACCACAGAAGCTTTCATTATTCGGCCGAACCCTGTCGGGTGTGGCCGCCCACTGGTACGCAAAGTTACAAGATGAAGTGAAGAAGAATTGGGATGAAATGGCTGAGGCCTTTGTCACGCAATATTCATACAACACTCAGATCGAGATCACAACCCGTGATCTCGAAACGACAAGGCAAGAGCCCAAGGAAACTTTCTCGGACTTTGTGATCCGATGGAGGACAAAGGCGTCAATGATGACTTTAAGGCCCACTGACAAAGATCAAATCCGGATGATTGTTCGCAATCTCCACCCAAAGTTGATGCAGAGAATGATCATAGTCCCCTTCCCTACTTTCGCAGATTTACATGATATGGGAGTGTAAATCGAAGACGCCATGAAACAAGGGCTGTTTGACCACGACAGGGAACAACCGAGGAGGACTTTCAGCCGTAACAACAATGCGGGCCCGAGTGGCGCTGCTAATACAAGAGCCTCGGAAGTCGGTATGGTCACCACCACTCCCCCTCCCCCTCCAAGGCCCATGGCCGCCACACCTTTCTCCGACGCATCCGGAAGCAACACACAAACCAACCGATTCCAACCTCGGGGCCAAAGAACCTTCACCCCACTATACATGCCCCTGACCAAAGTCCTGGGGATATTGATCAGGAAAAACCATTTGAAACCCCTGGAGCCCAAGCCACTACCGAATCCACTCCCTCCCTCTTATGACTCATCAAAATACTGCGCTTATCACCAACAACACGGTCACGACACCGACCGTTCTTACAGATTGCGTCATGAGGTCCAGGATCTTATTGACAAACAGGTGATCGCGCCTCCTGATAAACCCAATGTCACAACCAACCCTCTCCCACCACATAACCAACCTCCCCCTCTCAACAGAATTAATTTTATCCAGACTGGGGTCGAATCTTACGATCCTAGCATCTATATCACGCCCGCCCACCTACCCAAGCCAGAGGTTTTCCTCCCTGATTGCACTGACTTCTTGTGCATGATGGACATCTCCAAAACCCAACCAGAACCGATGGTGGTGACCGTTGAAGATGGGGCAGGGCAGATTTTGGGAGAGAATGAGATTGTTGAATCTGGGGCTGGACAGAGTTTTGCTAGGGGAGCCTATGATCCAAGC